CGCTTACAATATTCATGTTGCGTTTAATTCAGACTGCGCTTCCGCGCAACATTCAACAACGATCTTGACGCGTCAATGGGTTCAACTATTTCTAGTTTTGACACGTGGACCAAGATCTTCAGACGCGTCACGTTTTCATCATTTATATTCATTCAAGGTTGATTAAGAACTGTGGAGTATAAATGTGCCAATATCGTACCTTAATGTACTCCTTGATGGTGGCAGCTTCCGCGAATTCAACATCGGTAACAGCAGCGATGGCCAGCAGGTTCTTGAAGCCGTTCGCAATGCTGTGCGGCGCGCTAGCGACCGTAGGATAGCCAATCGCCAAGCAAACCGAAGCCAAGTTTGCAACTCCAGCCATGAATTTCTCACGTAGATCCTCGGGTTTGATGTCTAGAATCTCGGGCGCAAAGATAGTGCCGGAATCGTATACTTGTTCGACGAGTAATCCATATGAGAAAGGAGAGATGTTCAGCATGTTCAAGAGCGTGGCCTCGGAAGCTCCCACCTTGTCGCCAGGCTTGAGGATATGGACGTCATTCTAAAATAATATACATTTGTTAAAAAGTCCGTCAAAGATTCTGAAAGAATTGAATTTAGACACTTCTCGACGTATACTTACTATAATTTCAATAGTACCCTTGGAGATCTTGGTCGGGATACTCAAAGCTTGGAAGAACGAAGTCTTTTCGGGACCGAGTCCAGTGTTCTGCGCGGGGATGATAACGCTCAAGGGCGCAATGGCTCCTGCCCTGGCCGGTGCGCGTACTTTGTTCTCCAGCAGCTTGTCCCTCACTTCGATCAGATCACCCCGGGTGAAAACAAATCCGACATTACCGCGGATGTGAGGCAGTAATTTCTCCAGTGCCGCGTTACGTTCTATATGACCACGGATCGCTTTTCTCATCATGGTGTTTTTGCCCATGAGGACAACCGCGTTTCCACGGAGCGACATACGAATTTGTTGCATCTGCTTCGAGCCGACATTGTCTGCGCCCACGATGAAGCACTTGGGGTAATCGTCCAGAAGTTGCTGATATTTAACAAAAATTATTTTAATAAGTATCTTTTAC